GAATATACTCAGACTGATGCACCACACCAGTGTGAGTTATATATTGAAGATGACCCCCCGCGTCTAGTGGCTATTGGTCGAGTTTTTGAGGGTGACTTAACCATCCATGGTGTCCCTCTACAGGCAGACTGGACATGAGTAGTAGTTGATGAAGTTCATGATGTTAATACTCCAGTACCTTTTCTTAATGAAGAGATTCAATTAGTGGGGCAGGCAAGCGGGACATTCTTGGCTTGGCCAAGACGTTTGATTATGTCACTATCGAGCATGGACCAAGGTAATATATATATATATATATTGTCTATTTTCTCTTTTCTAGTATTATAATTATATAAATGTTTAATTAATTGTTATAATTTGTTTAGGAGAACTTGCGTCGTGCTAAGCATAAAAAACAACCTATTATTGATGAGGAGATGATAGAATGTGACGATGATTTCATATCTATATTGTTGACCATATTACCTCGGTTGAGGAAGAGACCGTGTCAGATACAATGAGAGGTTATAGTGTTTGGAATTGACAATTTCAAGTATTCCACTATACATTTCCTTGTCCGATGCATTAGAAATTGCTTGGGGAAATTGCATATTAAATATTTCCATCATACAATCGTGGGCAATGTAAGTCCTTTTCATTTATGTTTCTAAACTTATAATTAATTATTTTAGGTACATTGATAAATTGAGTGTGGAACAAGAAAAATCTGAAGTATATGGATTTATTGAGCCTCAATCCATCCAAAAATCTGGAAATACAAAGGTTGGAATCCAACAATATATGCAAACATGGATGAGTGACTCAAAAAGACATATATATTTGGCTCCATACATTGAAGGGTTAGTACTTTAATTTATATTTTTATAACTAATTTTTATGTCATGTAATGTAGGTTCTATTAGCAGTTAATTGTAATCATGCCCCGGGATTACACTCGTGGTGTGGTTTTGTTCATTACATCTGAAACCGAGTCAAGAAATGAAAAACTTATTACAAGGGTAACTTTGTCTTTTATTCATTAATTATGTTTTTAAATTGTAAATACATATTGAATAATATATGGCTTTTTTTCACTTAGAATCGTGTATCGGAACTAATGTTCTAAGTGGAAAACCCAGAACAAAGACTTTGCAGTTCATTTATCCTAAGGTTAGAAACTTATTTATAAAAATGAATACCATAATTATTGTTTGTATTTAAATTTTGAAAACAACATTATGTTTTATTCATCATTTTAGTGTAATAAGCAAACCGACTCATTTGAATGTGGTTACTATATTATGTATTGGATGAGAGTCATAATTTGTGCGGGTATAATTGATTATTGGACGGAGGTAATTGCTTTCAACATTAGTTAAGTTTATTTAACTTTATGCATGTTTACAATAGTCAAATTAATGTTTCAGGTATTTCAAGATCCATCTCCATTACCAGAATATGATATTACACAAATTAGAGAATAATGGGCAAGATTTTTCGTTTAACAATTCTAGTACTTAATTTTTTAGGTTATTTTTCATATTATATTGTGTGTATTATGTAGTTTAGGTAACTTAGTTTGTACTAACTTTTAATTTGTAATAGATTTTAGTTTGTATTATATTGTTTTATTATGTAGTTTGAATTATATATAATATTATATTTTTAATTTACTAGCTAAAGAAACTTGAACCTCTGGACTGTCTGGTTGTAATATATATTTGCAGGTTTTAGTTGTAAGACAAAATAAACTGAATTTAAAAAAAGAAGGAGCAAATTTACGTTGCATATTGGTATACGTGACGTAAATTTGTTTTTTTTTTTCGAAACTTTTAACGTCTGTTTAGTAGCATATGCAACGTAAATTCACGTCGGGTCTCGATAACGGACGTAAATTTACATCGGGCTAAGGGGTCCGACATAAATTTATGTCTCCCGTTTTAACGTCGGTCTTAAATACAACGTAAAAAACTCAAAATACCCAAAGTAAAAGTTCTTTTTTACACTAGTGTTTCTCAAAAAGCTTTAATTGGAAATATCATTGAGAAAATACGTCAATAAACATTTTTTCAAAAGTAATTTTCAAGGTATGAAAATGAAAAGAGAGTTTCGGAAAGTACTTTAAAAATATAAAGATAATATTTCGAAAAATACCCATTAACACATTCTCTTATATATTTTATAATATACATTTTGAAATACACTTTTATTTGTACAACATTTTGAAATTCCAGAAAACATTTTTTTTATATTTAGATAAATACTTTACACAACAACACCAACAAAATGAAAAATAAGAGTAAGCATATATTTTAAATGGATTGAAATCCTCTCCTGTTCAAAACAAATAGGAGAAATCCTATTTAATAAGTCCTAACCATTTATTTGTTAAAATAATAAAAAACAGGAATATCTAACTTACTTGGATATATAATATGAGATGATTTTTAAAAGTATAATAAATAGATAAAAAAAAAAACGAATCAAGTAATCTAAACCTGTGTTAAATAAAAAAGAAAAACAAAAGGAAAAGTATGTTTAGCAATAAGTAAATTATAAATGTGAAAAATCTTTTTTATAATAGTTATTGCACTTCCACCTCTAAAACTTTGGCCGGAAAGCAAATTAAGTTTTATGCATAAAAATGATATTTTGTATTAATTTAAGGTGGGTGAGTTCCACCATCGGCACATTGATGCTTTATATCAAATAACATAAAAATATTAATAAAAGATAAAAAAATGTAACTATTTAAAAAATAAAATAAGAATTATTTAGTCCAATATTAATTATTATATTATAATATATTTTATTAATTATAAAAATGAATAAAATATGTTTTGCGACAACATATTAGATGGTTGATTGTTAAGGTATAATTATTTGTATAGTTTGTCTTTTAAAATTAATAACATACAGGTTCCCGTCTCAGTAGCAATAAATAAATATATAAATAATACCAAAAACCAAACATGTTGTCATTCGATTGTACTCTTCCCTAGTTGTAATGTGAATTAGGAATCAGAATAATGTGAGACACATGTTATATTTATGAGAAGAGAAGAAAATGGAATAAATGCATTATATTCAACACCCCTGTCAACCTTTGACAGGTAGACAACATTGGAAGTTATATTAGACAATGTTAAATGGGTTAATAGTTCCAATATCTCAGCTTATAATTTAGTTACCAGTTTAAATTTAAATTCGGATTCTATTATTTAGTTTGTGGACCCTAGACTTTAGACATTAGAAAAATTACAACGTTGAAATATTGATTTGATGTTCTTTCCCTACTTTTTTAATGAACACGAGGGAGACAAATTTGTTATGAAGTAACTTCTGAACTTGATTGAGACTCAAACCTTCTATTCTATGCATGATGGAGACACAATTATTATTATTATTAACTAATTTCTGGATTTGATTTAGACTCAAACCTTCTATATTACTATAAGAATAAGAATGTCAAGTAATAAAAAAATGATATTACTAAATATTATTATTAAATTGTTGATTAAAATGTTCCAACATTTGTTTGAGTTCAGTAATAAAAATAAAAACAGTTTTAAGATGATTGAAAAAAATAAAAAATATTAAAGTAATTTAATAAATAGAAAATGTGATTGTTGTTTTATGCGTTTATATAGTATTAATAATTAGAGTTGTTTGAGGTTAGGAGAGGGGTGACAGGTACATGTCTTGTATTTGATTTGAAAGAGAAACGGGAACCTGTCTTTTCTCCCGTTTCTATTTGTAGATATGTAGATGAGTCGCTATAACTAAAAAATAATATTTTATTTTTTAAAATAATTTTTTTAATAAATTTAATAATAAAATTATTATTTATTTATTAATAATTTAATATATATATATATATATTTTTTTTTTAATTTAATAATATAAATTAATATATTATTTTAAAAAATTATAATTTAGAACAATAATAAAATTTATATAATAATAAATATATATATAACATTAAAACTTATAAAATTTATTATTTTTATATTATAAAATTTAAATATTTATATTTTTTTTATTTGATAAAACTTCATATTATTAATTTTTATATTTTTAATTTAAATTATAAAAATAAAAATAATCAGTATTTAAAATAAATAAAAAAAATAAGAGAGAGAAAATTCTGTTTCAATAAAGATAATATTTTATGTGATAATGAAATTTTTTTAATTCTTAATTTAAAAATTTTAATTTTATATATTATTTTTATAATTAATTTTATTATAATAAAAATTTATTTTTTATTAATTATACAAACCACCAGTTAGTCTCCCCATCACAGGTTGACCCGGGTAATACGGGTAAAGTAAAAATACTAACCCATCGTATCATGATGGGCGGACCCGTCAGGCCTGACCAATCCGTCATCTTTGCACTGTATTCTACATGTGAGAGAAAAACGAGAGGCACGGTCAGGGGAATAATTATCTAACTTATTTTAATCAAATTTAAATTTAATTGAGTTAATGGGAAAAAATTGATTTTATATGCAGTTCACAACCCAACTTTCAAATGTAATATTTGTAAACATTTTTATTATAAATATTTTGCAAAACTAACTATTAATATATCTTTTTATAAAAATAATAACCAGATCTCTTTTTCATTAGCATACGAGTGAGAGAGAAGAGTAAAAAACAAAATGAAGTTATATTAGCTTATTAACAAATTTAGCCATGTCTGATCGATTTGTTCATAAGGATAAGGATTGAGAGAGAGAGAGAGGAGAACAGAATACTCATTATGATTAATTTTGTTACAAAGATAAGGATCGATTTATGAGTTTGTGAATTTATTTGTACACAAATATGGGTAACGGGTATTATCTCCCTGAGTCCTGATATATCCCTTTCATCCTCAGAGTCTGGACCCTTTACTAATTGAATAAATAAATATCTGATGATATTAGTGGTGAGAAAATGATTATGTAGGGGTCACTTGGTAGCCTGTACCAACCAATCCATGCATATTGAGCGTGGGGTGAAACAATTGTCGTCTCATTGTTTGTCCAAGAATCGGCGATTGAAGACTATAGCTGCATCCTTATCTCCACTGCCACTGCAATTCACAACAACCTTCGTACCATCGCATAGTGTAGGGACCAATTTATCCAACGTACCCAATGCATGTGCAGCCTCCAGCGATGGAAATATACCCTCTAATTTGCATAATTTTTCGTAAGCTGCAAAATATGTCACTAGATGAGTTAATTTTGGTTCAACTATTTCTTTCTCATAAATCATAATATATATATATATATATATATATATATATATATATATATATATATATATATATATATATATATATATATGTTTATGTTTTTGGCCAAAGCACGTACCATCAAGAGCTTCTTCGTCTGTTGCAACGCAGAATTCCGCGCGCCCACTTTCTTTAAGAAAGCTCAACTCTGGACCAACTCCTGGATACTCCATCCTGTGGGTTCAGATAAACATCCATGTCAATTTCTTAACTTTAATTCACTAAAAACAACAAATTCATGAGGTAGATAACACCGGTTTTTAAATTTTTAAGGATAAAGGTTTAATGAAGGAAAGATATGAATGAAATGGTTTAATCAACCATAACAAATGAGATACATGATTAATACTGACCCAGCTGCGATGGAATGTGGATGAATAACTTGGCCATCGTCGTCCTGGAGTAGATAGCTGATGGCTCCATGGTAAACACCCACTTCTCCTTTGGCCAAGGTTGAAGAATGCCTTCCACTCTCCAATCCCAAACCTCCACCTTCAACTCCAATCAACCTCACATCTCCATCTCCTATGAACTCATGAAACAAACCCAAAGCGTTTGCTCCCGTTCCTACCGATGCAACTAGAACATCTGGCTTCCCTCCCCATTTTTCCAATGCTTGCATCCTCGTTTCTTTCCCTATCACAGACTGAAACTCCCGAACCATGCTCGGACATGGGTGTGGTCCCACCGCCGAACCCGTCAAGTGGTATTTCTTTTCCAAATCCCCCACCCAACATCGAAACGCCTCTGATGCTGCGTCTCTGAACCCCCCATCAACTGCTTCCACCTATGCATCCATCAACCAACAATTAATTATAATTGCTTCACTCACCATCATATATATGTATATGTATATATATATATATATATATATATATATATATATACAAAGGAATAACCTGTGATGAATAAACAGAGAACAGGGTTTATACCTCAGCTCCTAACAACTTCATCAACCGCACATTTGAATACTGTCTGTCGATGTCTTTGGCGGCCATGAAAACCGTGCACTCCAAACCAAGTTTTGCGCATGCTGCAGCTGTTGCAAGGCCATGGTGTCCAGAGCCAGTGGAGGTGACCACGGTTTTGCAACCCATGCGTTTAGCAATCATGGTTTGCGCAAGAGCGTTGTTCATCTTGTGAGAGCCACCGTGGTTCAGATCCTCTCTCTTTAAGTATATGTCAGGCCCTTTCCCATTGTTCCTGCTCTTATAATACTCAGACAATCGCTTAGCGTGGTAGAGAGGTGTCTCTCTCCCAGCGTAGTCTCTTAATGCCTCCGCTAGCTCTGCCTGTTGGTACAACCATCCAAATCAACTTTAGTATCCAAGGTTTTAACAAAAAGGTTATCAATTGTTCCATACACATATAGTACGTAATTAATAACAATGAAGTTGATGAAGTTTGGTAATTTAATTAACCTGAAAAGCATGGTCACTGAGGGCGTTTTTGAACTCAGCCTCAAGCTGGCTCAAACAGGCTACAAGTGTTTCGGGTACAAATTTCCCTCCAAACCTACCGAACTTTCCTGAAGTATTGGTGGGAAGGTCTTTCTCATGGACAGTTTCCAAGGCTTTTTTGTCTAATGAGGGTGTCGGAGGAGGGGGTACGTAGGTTAAGTTCAACTCGGGGAGCTTAGTTTTAAAGGTGTGGGGAGTGACCACAGCTTTAGGCATCACAATAGCAGCACGCTCTTTCTGATATTTGAACTTGGTAGTTCTGGAATGGCAGCTAGTGAGTGCCCCCTGTAGTTTGCAAGCCATAATCTTAAGTTTTTTTGTGCGTGAGTGTATGAGTTTGTGATTGTGTTTGCTTGAAACAAAAACTCCTCACAGGCCATATTTATATCTGTCTGGGTTCATGTTACCGCGTTGTCCTTCCTAATTTAATCCCTCACATGACTTCAATTTTTTAAACGTGTTTTCAGAGGATGGCATTTTGAGTGCTACTTACAATGACACACGTGACACAAGTTCGAATATCAACCCCGCCAAACACATCCCATCCACAAGCACAACATTGTACGGGTATTATGCTGACCATATGTTTAGTTTAATCCGAATAAATTACATTAATTATATTTCAAATTTAGCAAAACTGAACAAATTCTTCTTCTTCTTCTTCTTTTATAATCTTGTATACTATTTTATTTATTTATTCAAAAAATATTATATCAATTTTTTATATATCATTATTCTTTTTAAATACTGTCGAATTTTTCTATAAAAAAACTGTTATAATTATAAATATTAAAAAGTTATATAATTAATTTCACCAAATCTTGATGATTCATTCAACTTACTCTTCTTGGTTTAAGAAAACAGTGGGTATAAAAGTGAGACATAAAATAAAATAAATTATAAAAATTATATCATAAAAAATACGTAAGTAAAAAATTGTACGTATTATTAAAATCTTAATTTTATTTTACTTTAAGCAATTTATAAAACTATTGATTTAGACAATAGAAAGAGTAAAAAATATCTAGAATAAGAAGATCGTTTAAATTTGAAAACTGCCACTTAAAAATTCAAATAGGAATGATTACGTTAATATTCAAAGTATTTTCCGTTTTCCAATTTCTTTTATCACAGTTTGTCATTAAAAATTATATTCATTAATTTAAAGGAAAAAGTGTATATAAATTATTTTGATATTAATTCTTAAACAAGACTTATAATTAGTAAAGATGACAAAATCGATCCGTTTCGTTTTGGCCCATCCTGACCTGCTAAAAATGGGGCGGGGGCAGATGGTCCGTTATAGTCATGATGAGTTTTATACCTTGGTTCGTCCTGTCAAGGAGTGGGTTGATGGTGACCCACCACAATTTAGAAAGAAATAATTTATTTTTTAAAATCAAATTTTTTAATAAATTTAATAATAAGATAATTATTTGTTTATTAATAATTCAATATATATATATATTATTTCAATTTAATAATATAAATCAATATATTATTTTAAGAATTTATAATTTAGAACAATAATAAATTTTACATAATAATAAATAATAACAAAAAAATAATATATATATATATATAACGTTAAAACTTATAAAATTTATATTTTTATATTAAAAATTTTAAATATCTATATCTTTTTTATTTGATAAAATTTCATATTATTCGTGTTTTAGTAATTTTTACACTTTTAATTCAAGTCATAAGGATAAAAATAATTAGTGCTTAAGAGAACAAAGAAAACAGGAGAGTTTCGTCCCGTGGGTTGGTCTAACAAGTTGACAAGCTTAGCGAGGACGGGCCAAAGTGGTTTGGTAGAGTTGAAAACATCAACTCGTCCCACTATATTATAGCGGATCGACGGGTTGAAGCTACGAACCTGATTCATTTTCTCATCCCTAATAATTATATTGAAACATATATAATTAAAAATAAATATGTTACGTAGTTATAATATCATGTTTTATAAAGTATAATTTATTATGTTAATAAATTTAATTGATGTGATTCAAAATATAATTCCAATATCTTGTAAAAATACATTAAATATTTAAAATATAAACTTCTAAGCTCAATCCGAAATTTGGATAATAAGATACTTCGTAAATACTTCTATCACAGAAAGTAAATATCATCGAACCAATACTAAGTATCGATTTATATGATTATCCTATTTAAAAATAAATTTTAATTTAGTAGGTTAATGAGTGGATCAGATAATACTTTCATTAATTATCACATCAAGTAGATATCTTCGAATAAATGCTAAATGTTAATTAACAGTTATATTTAGACAACCAAACAGAAAAATATAACTTTTCAAAAACCTCTTGTATTAATATAATAATTTATAATAACGATAATAATATATAATAAATAAATTTATGATTAAAGATAAAAATAAATTATTGTTAATAGATTGTTTATTTAATTATAAGTTGTCAATCTTTATCTCATAAGTATCCTATTTAAAAATAAAACTTAACGAAGTATATTAGTGTTGTATTTACTATCATTATAATAATAATAAAATTATTTTTTTCAGTTTAATTTTTTTAAAATAAATATTATTATTATAATAATAATATATATAAAATATTTAGTAATAAACCATTATTAACATTAAATAGATATCTTTATTAATAAACTTTCTATTTTTTTAATGAGTAAACAATACTCAACCAAATCATGGTTCATGATTAAACAAATCTTGTCTGATCTGCTTTACCGTTTTCTTTTATTATTTTTTACAATAACATATTTGATTTTTTTTTTTTAGTTCATTTTTTTTATTAATAGATGTAGTTTTTAAACCAATCTATTTTAAGCATTTTTACTAATTTATATGAAAACAAGTATAATTATATATAATAAGTGTGTATTTAGACATGTTATAAAACATTCGAGCAGAACCTTGGGATTTAAGACACCATTTGTAAAATTGTCTTTTTAATTAGCTTAATTATTTTATATAAATAATAAATTTTATTATGTACTAGTGTGATTTGTTGGGTTATTAAAAAGTATAATGAAATCAAACAAGGAGAAAATCAATTTACAATTTTCAAATTCAGGAATATTTTAAAATCTTAGGAACTTTTTTTCTTGTCTGTCTTTTAGAATTTTATGAACAAAACCATGATTGGTTCAAATAAATCTCTCAAACAAATAGAAGTGTGACTTTGATTTATAGGTCTCACGACCCTTCATAGCACAAGGTCATGCAGAATAGATAAATGAATTATTAATTATTTATTAAAATAAAATAGATGAGTTTAATCATTTTTTTAATAGGTAGACAAATTTAATTACAAAGAAATGTCAATAATAATGGATGCATGAATTGAATTTTTATAATATAAACATTTTTTATTGGTGGGGTATCAAAATATGATAGTAGATGAGTTCATAGAAAGTCGCTGATTTTCACGTTGTAGCTTTCACTTCCAAGCCTTTAAAACGTGAGTTTGTGTGCGCATCACAGTAACTTGAATTATTTGATACGAGAATAACATTTTCAACGAGAATTGTGCAGGTCGTAAGGCCCAATTGTTGTCTTTTTCCTTTAAAAAAACAAAAAAAGGTTTGGTTGGACCTGTCAACAACTCATTTGGACACGTTCGTAAATATCTCTCAGTTGAACACAGCGTGTAACCGCTATTAGCACAGAAGCAAAGTAATATTAAAAACTAGGCACTTGTAATATTTAAACAAAATTATCACTTTTCTATACTTTACTTTTGACTAAATTATACCTGCCATATTCTGAGGTTTTATCAAATTTCTATTCATATCTCCTCCCTCTCTCTCTTTTGAATTGTTTGAAAAATATTAAACGAATTCTCTCTAATTATTTTTATAATATTTTATATTATCTATTTATACTGTTACATTAAAAATTAACTGTTTTTGTGTCATTTTTTTTATTAATTATTTTATTCTTTATCAAATAAAAATAGTTTAATTATTTAATAAAATTTAAATTAATAATCATTTAATTTAGTATAACAAATATTCTTTTATTGTGTATTTTCTAACAAAGTTTATATCTTTCTCGTTATTTAATTAAATATATTACAACATAAATTTTTATTTAATTAAATTATTGTTTTTTATAAAATAAAAATATCAATATTACATATATTTTATTTGTAAATATATAATTAAAATTAATATAATAAAATTACCAAAATACTAACGTAAATTTCGACTTGTTTGATTTAATCTTATTTTTTAATTAAAAAAGTTAGAGATATTTTTAAAAATTTGAATTTAAAAATAATTTTTTTTAATAATCCTATTTTAAAAAACTATTTTAGAAAGAAAATAACATAAATCACCACTAAAATTCATAATAAAAGTTGAAAAACAATTTTGATAATTTTATTATTATAAAAATTATTGGTTTAATATAATTATTGATAAAAATATTAAAATTTATCAATGGAAAAAATTAAGATAAAATATATTTTTATTAATTTCGTTTTTAACTTTTAATACAAAATAAAAACAACTTTTATATATAACTTTATCAAAGTCCATTACTAAACAATTTTTTTAATTTTTAAAAACTATTTTTAAAAATAATACACAAACAAATTCTCACTCTTTAGTCACAAACAATCTCTTCTACGTTTTTTTTATCCTCTTTCTTTTAACTCATAACATAATCAATGTTCTATCATTCGCGTCAATAAACTAATAAGAATAGTTTTAATTTCTTTTTTCCAGCGGGAGTGTTTTTGTGATTTTTTATTGAGGGAAAATAAATGTAGAATTTTTTTAAAATTCATTCGTTACTTAATATATTATTTTATACTTATTTTAAATAAAATTAAATTTTTCAAAGAAATTATCAATAATTAAAAATAATATTGTTATAACAGTGTAAACAATTTATGTTGAGTCTAAGATACAATTTATATGTGAAAAATATTTATTCTAATGTTTAATTACAATTAATTTACATATTACAAAATATTTGTTTATTCTAAAATTTAATTTATAAAATAAGCACTGATGTTGCATATACTCCACAAGTTAAAAGTTATAATTAAAAATTGTAATAAAAAGATATTACTAACTTATAAACTACATTTTGTAGTGAATAAATAATTTATATTTGATACAATATTATTTAAAAATGATTTTTTAAACATTGTAATTCAATTTAAATTATAAGAGTTTCAAGATATGTAGTGGTATCCTGGAGTAGGGATGACTGGTCCAGAATTGATGGTAGGGTCAAACCTAAAAATATGGTAGAACCTAATAAATAATATTAGGAAAATAAAAATTAA